TGATAGAAGCCAGAGAATGCTGTGACGAATGTGGCTGAGGCTAAGGTGTGCAGTTGGATTTGTCATAGCGTCATGTAAGCACTCCGATGAAGTCTCCAAAATAATGTTTGAGAAGTGTAGATTGTGCAAACATTCCACTGCCCAAAAAAGAGCCCACAGGTCGGCTTCGATCTTTGTGCGCATGTAAGAATAAACCCGACGGCTATACATGAGCGTGCCTCCGTTTTCGTCGCGAAGAATCCATGATGCACCACTCGGCTGATTTGAGTCAATCCATGAAGATCCCATATTTCTATTAGATTAGACACTTTTAAAATTTAAAAACATTAAGGCTGATACCAATTTCAGAGTTTAGAGCAAACATGCTTATGATATGTTTTGCTAAAGTAACATATTACATATAGGCTAACTCATCAAAGAAGAACCTTAGGAAAACAATAAATTTTGATGAAGAATAGTAGAATGGATTACGATATGGCATTTAAAACCTATCTATGATTCCTAGTTTATATAATATATTTATGCCTCTCATAATAGCACAATATTAAGAAAAAAACATCGCTTTGAAAAATTTTCCAATTCCAAAATGAAAAAGATAGAAAAGTCTAAAATCATTAAGCATATACACTTTTGGGAGTTTCTTTATGAATACATTAAAGTGAGACATACGAACAGAATGATGATTTGTGACAAAAATATGATTAAAGGAAAACTCGTGGCAAACAATCATACTGTGTTTACTTTAAACTTTTGGCAGATGAGATAATGAATCTCTATTCTGTTGTGTTAATGATGCAGCCATGGATTTTTTGCAGACTTGTGTTATATGCTATGATGTAATCTTTTGATAAATGAGGGTTGGTTTGGTGCCAAGTGACTTGTGTTGTGGCCCAGCCAGAGTCTAGTGGAACTCAGTATCATCTACACTATTCGCACACTCGGAATCTAACTTAGGCATGCAGTTGTGAAGGGTTATATATATATATATATGCTTGCAATATATTTGCACTGACTTTATATAAGCTTGGATATGATATACCATATCTTTTTACATCGATTGATTTTAAAACACTACCAAAGGAAATGGAAAATAAATTAATGGTCAAAAAAAGTAAACCCATAATATTAGCAAATTCTAATTTTGTTTTATCATTAAGCATATCTTATCCAACTACCTCGTATCCATCTTAACGTAAGTATCATTATGTCGGCCTTTATTGTTTTTGTTACAGTCCAATAAAATATTTTTCTCCAACTTTATATTATTCTCTTCTTTTTTCTTTTTACTTTTGTTGTAAAAAGGAAAATAGCTAAAAGCGATATTTTTGGGTGGGTTGCACGCTTTGGATAATTTGATGGGCTTTATAGTAAACGGATTCTAAAGTTGTTGGGTCTATGATTTCAAGTTTTTGGGCCTTGAAGAAAATGATAAAGAGGAAAAGCTCATCCATGCTATGTTGAGCAACAACCTGATCTCTTGACGGCTAAAACAACACATCTGCTTCCAACATTAACCATCTGTCTTCTAGGCAAAGTAGTGCGTGGATCATCTCCCAAGGGAAAAACATTTTGAAATATATATTAATGAATAGGATATAAATGATATCAAAATAAGATAGTTCATTAAAACTTTATTTTAGATGAAAGCGAATAAAAATGAACTAATTATGTAGAGTGTGATTATGAGGGGTTTCGGTGTGGAAAGCTTGAGAGGAGAGCCTTTCAGCCAACAGTACATTCACGTGTGCGGTTAGGTTAAACCGATTTGCTAAATTCATATATTCTTCTTCAACAGTATCCTAAATGGTGTCATGACCACCGCATCTCTGTTAAATGTGTTCGGGGTTTTAACTTTTAACTTAAAAGAAATGTATTTTAACAGTATCCAAAGCCTGGACTAACCACATATTCTGTATTTATGAAATAAATATCAATCATCCCTTATAAAATAAAAACATTATGTTAATACATCTTATAACCTAGTGACTTTTATTAGTATGCATTCCATTACTGTAATGATTTCAAGACTGATTTCGAGACCGACGAAGTGAAACGCGTAATACTAATATACTTTAGAAAATTTAAAGATTCTAATAGAGAACTATAATTATGTTTATTCATGTTGTAAAAAAAAAAAAATTCCTCATAACCTTTCAACCAATTGAATATTTCTCATTATATATATGTAGGAAATTTGAAGGAAATATAGCAAAGATATTATTTTTGTGATATTTATATACTTCCTAACAATATTTTAACAGTTTTAAACAATATGAATTCCATTTTCAGACTTATCATCAGTACTGCTTATCATGATATATATCAGGATTAGCCTTGTCCGAATTCGTAACTAGTAATCCTATTTACAGTTTAAATGTGTATTATAATTAGAAATATCAATCACTTTGAATGAAAATGAACTCACACTTCAAGTTAATTTTCTAAAAATTGAAAAACATTATTTTCTAAAAAGGATAATGTAAAACAAAAAGAAATTGTTACCTTATACTTAACTAAGAAGCTACAAGATACAACTCATAAATGTTATTGTCAGCATTTGGAGCATCTCTCTTGCATTACAAGAGATCTAAATCATTGTAGAGTTTAACATCTTGGGCTATAGAGAAAATAATTAAAAAAAAAGACAAAAATAAGAGAGAGGAGAGAGTGAACATGGAGTAAGTGAGTGAGTGTCATATGAATGTGATTCGTAATGAGGAGAGAACGAGTTAAGATACTGTTGTGTCAGTTTTGGACGCAAGAGAAAGTTTGTCCCACTTGTTGGTGAATCCACAGTCCCTCTGGTCAACACTCTTGTTAAACCTACTTTTCGTTGTCTCTTTCTTAGCTTTCTATTTTTCTCTCTTTCTTGTCACTTCATAGATTTCTATTTAAATTGTCCAATGTCAATTAATATCATGACGACTTTAAAACTTTCGATCGTAATTTTCCACTTTGATTTGGCAAAAGGCCTGTCGTTCCTTTTAAACACAACAATATAGATTTGGTTTCGCTATGATATTATTACGATACTACACAAAGTCCTGTCCCTCCCTCCCTCCCAATGCTCCTATAGGTAGTTATCTTTTTGGTTTTAACTATTCATAGTTAAGTGTTTAGTTTTGGCATTTCGGAGAAAATAAAGTGCGCACGGCAACACAAACAGTGACAACAATTTGTGCACATTGAGCAATATTAGATGGGCCAAATGTAATGATCACACATTTTCCATTTTTTATAAATTTAGATTAGTATTCAAATTTGTTCAAAAGAAAAAAAGAAAAAAAAGATTAGTATTCAAATAATTAAGAACAAGTGACATCTATCAAGTGATATGTCGAGACAAACAAAATAACTAGTAATAATGTTATTGAGTGACATGAAATATTCAATATTTGTGTAACATTTATTACAAACTAAATAAATATATTTTTGAAAGTAGTGGTCTAGTAGTAGACTAGTAGTGTAAAAAGGTTGATTTCGCTGTTATTATTTTTTTTGGATATAGATTATTTTTTAAAAAGTTTAAATAGAAAAGATCTATAAAATTATGATACTTGGTCTTTTTAAGACGTACTACGTTTTCGTTATTGTATATATGAAAAATGTTGCATTGCGGCACGTCACAGCTATGATGAAGTCATTTTTAAAGTAACGTGGTGATAAATTGAATATATGCGAGGACATTGTTTAGGTTTCTATAGTAAGAAATTGGGTGAAAATTAAATGTTGTATTGTATACACGACTGGGACTGGAACTGGAAATGGAGACAAGTAATATAAGCATGGGTAAAGGATAACGTCAAAGCGACAAGATGAAGGAAACAGTCAAACAGTAAAAAGTAAGACTGTAGGACCATGTTTATATTGAGAAACATTTGTGTGATTTGATATTACATTTTTATTATGCACGTTTTGACATCTGATTTGATCTAACAAAGCCCCTACCTAGCTAGACCTCATTTCAATTCAAATCCAATTGTTTACTAATTTTTATTCTCTTTATTTACCTCAAATATATCTAGCTATTCGTATACTATACTACATAGCAATGCAAAACCTTAGAAGTAACTCTATTGCTATTATATTATATGGTTAATAGTAATAGTAATAGTAATACATATATGTAACGTTTTCAATCCCCCGGATTAAAGTGAAGTATAACTTCACGTGAACTGAAGTCAAAGTCCCACACTTCCCGCAAGTAAATCGTACATCATCATAGTCTAAACACCAAACATAACGCATGACCTAATTTACTTTCACATTGGGCAAGGTGAAGCTTCTATGTTACTCATCCCAATATTAAGCCAACTGTTTAACAATTCCCCGTACATATAAAAGATTCAAATGAAGAAACAAAAGCATTATTATAATTTCTATGAAACTACAAAGAAACGCACACGACAATATATTGGTCAACAATCAACGAGAGAATTTCGCAAGTGTTATCCGAAACTCAAACATCACAACGTCACAACAGATAACTGAAACCAATATCTTATAAAATGTAACACATTTAAGCGTACGTACGATAGATAGTGAAAGAAAGAGACATGTCTTAGTTTTCATCTTCGAACCCAAATCTCACACACGACTAGATCTGCAAACGCAAAAAGAGACCTCGAGATTAATGACATACACAAGTATATATTGTGTATATACACATGCAGGCACATCCTTCAAAATATGTTATTACTACTAGAATTTATACTACAAAAGTCAAAAAAAACACGAAGGCCAAAAAAAGAAAAGAAACTCCAATGAATGCTCTAATGAAGCGCATGGTGTGTGTGTGTAATTCAATTAGATGAGTCAACATTGTTGACCTAATTAAGCCAAACAACATGTCTCTCGCATGCATTTATCCGTTTTAGATCCCAATGAAGAAATAAACTACTATAGATATATACTATAAACGAAGATTATACTTAAACCATTAAACAATGATTTATTACTAGTATAATTTAACCTACAATGGCATCTAGCTAGCTATTGAATTAAGTGAATGTAATGCATAAACATTTATTAAAGGAAAACAAAGAGGCTAAGAGAAGAAACAGAACCAGATAGTAGGAGGCTCCGTGTTGAAGAGGGTGAAGAGCGACGCCATATTCATCAGTGACAATGGCCTGACCCGCGGAATTAATGAGAACAACCTCTTCACCAAATGCATCTCTCACATTAAACGGTCCTTGGCTCACCTCAAACTCCATTTCATTGATGAACACCCTTATTCTCGCACTCGCTGCTTTAAATTTAGCCATGGTTAATTATTCCATTATTTCATGTTAGTATCATGACTATATGTTAACACTCTCTATATAGAAAACCTCAAACAAACTTAGTTTATGATAAAAGAGAGAGTGTATATACAAATAAACAATCATTTTACATATTAACATGGATTGTTTTTTTAAAGATTTATGCTGATCAATGTGTCCCTTCCATTGTTGACATACAATTAATGTATTTATATTGTTGAGTAGAAAGTTAAAGATATACTATGAGTGATGACTCTCTTTTAGAAGGGAAATAACTTTATATATCAACTTACCTTGAACTTGAAGTTGGTCCAAAGTTGATGGGACAATAGCAAGAGGATTTGAAGTTGTAGTAGTACTAGTAGTGGGAGGAGCATGAAGCATGATGTTGTTGTTGTTGTTGTTGTAAGAACTGATTTGATGATCACTAGTAGCAGCGTAACAAATCTGAGGCTGTGGTTGTTGCAACATCTTCATCCTCATTTCATCATCTTCTTTCTCACTCAATTGTTGATGGTTATGAGTTCCATAACCCACACTACCGTTCATAATCTCGCTAAGGAGGATACCGGTACATGGCTCCACCGTTGGAGGAGCCTGTTTTGGTTGTTGCTCGACCATATCACCGGGGAAAAACCCTAATTGGGATGAGACGGGGATACCTTCAAACCCTCCAACGGTGGAAGCCGGAAAAAGAAAGGAAGCTTCAGGTGGAAACATCCCCATCATTTGACTACCACCCAAAGAGAGAGTAGTGTTGTTGTTGTTGTTCTTGTTCTTGGTTTTGCGGGGTTTGGTGGATTTGGAGGATGATGAGGAGGAGGAAGATGAAGAGGAAGCTGAGGAAAGAGGCTGAGGCTGAGGCTGTGGTTGTGGAGGAGGGAGGGAGTGTTTAGAGTGGTTATGGAGGAGGCGGAGTTTGTGTTTGCTACGGGATTTGCGGTTTTGGAACCAATAGAAAACGTTAGCGTCACCGACTTGGCCGTATTCTTGAAGCTGAGCCCTAATCCTTCTGATCTCCTCTCTCGGTGGATTCACCATCCCTGAGTTGAAGATTGCTTCGAGTATCCTAATCTGCTCTGGCTTCGGATTCCATCTTGGTTTTGGCTCTGGACTCCTTTCCACCTCACACCCTTTTAACAAAATCACATCTCATCAGATTAGAATTTTCTTTAAAAAAAATAAATTAAATATTAAAAGAAGAAGGACCTGAGAAGGGAGAAGAACGGTGGGAAGCAGGAGAAGGCAAGAGAGGAGAGTTTATGTCGTGTTGCCATTGATGATGATGAGGTTTGGACTTGAACATGCTTGGCCAGTGTCTATTCGAGGAAGCCATAACTAATTTAACTTGATCAAAAGAAGACAGGGATATATATATATATGTGTGTGTATGCTTATGATGATGATTGATGTTTGATGATGATGATGTGATGTGTCAAGAGAGAGTAGGAGAAGAGGCAGGGAACAGAATGGCTAATGGGAAGAAAATAAAAATGTGAATAGGGCAAAAGGGTTACGACCTCTTTATCTCCCTCTTATAGCCTCTCTTCACCTACCCAAACCTCTATAACATAGATTTATCTCTTTACATTATTTAATTTTTGTCTCACACGTATCTTTCTGTAAATCACTCCTCTCACCCTGTATTTTTTTTTGTCTATTTCATCTGTATATGTTTAGGAAAGAAAAATTCAATCTATTTTTTAAAATATCACTACTCTTGTTTTATGGTGCAAAAGAATTAGAGAAGTAGCAATTGTCAAAACAGAAAATGATATAAAAGACAATAGAAAGACACTATATTTTGTGTGCTTTACATAGTAACTACAGTTAATAGTCAAAAAATATTATTTAATCGCATTAAGAATCAAAGTTAGCAATTGTATAGTAACTACAATAGTCAAAAAAATATATACTCAAAATGTTTTTCAAATTGCCAAGAAAAATATTTACGGTAAACAAAAAATAACAAAAAAGTCAAAATGCATAGGGAACATTTAATTTGTTTTAGGGGTTAGTTCCATCAGGTTAGTGTTTAAGACTTTAAGTTAAGTACGTTAAAATGTGCTAGTCGGCGATTAGTCTATTTCTAACGTTAAATCACTGATGGATTGACTAACACTTCAATAGCAACAAAAAGACAATTGGTATGGAAGAAAAATTGGAAAATCATTTATGTGTTCAACAGTCATTTGACTAGTGTCTCATGAACGTCCCTTTTAGCCACATATGTTTCTGGATGAGTGCTTACAATTATATGTTCACGTTTTTTTTTTCGCTTTGCGTTTTATATACTTACATTTTATTTTGAGAAAATCCAAATTAGTGAACCATTTTGGAGGCAAACTACCTATATAGATCTCTTAGGTGAAAACGGGACATAAGGAGCGCGCACACACACACATATATATATATATATATATATATATATTTACATAATCAGTGAATTAATTTTTAAAAAATATTTTACTATACTGAATTATTGAGACTAGAACAGTAAGAAATATCGGAAGAAACTCAAAGTGATCATAAATGCAACCCCATGCCTTTTCCTTACAGTTCTTGCATTGAAACCTAAACTGCTTCTGTAGTTCAAACGTACGAACTCAACTTTCTTCAGAAATTGATTCAACAGACTCTTTGAAAGTGATCCATGTTTGGCTCTGAACTAGGATTTCTACCTTTTGATTATTTTCTCTTCTGACATCTAAAAAGCATTAAATGGACCAGACAGAAGGATGGTAATTTTACATATCTTCCCACATTTTATTTTTCTGTAGAAATATTTTTTAAATCTTTTTTCGATAATTAATTATAAGACAGGTTTCTATTATTTTTTGCTTTGTATATATATTTCATGTGTGGGGAGTTAATTTCTTGGCTTTCAGGCTGTGCAGAAGACGATTCTCTCGGTCTTCGGCCTTAATTAAACCTGGATGGAGGGAGCAAATGGGTTGTTTGGATGTCTGAATAGTCAATAATCGATGAGCCAAACATGATTTTAGATGTTTCGAGATAGTATAATACTGTGGAGAAAAATCAAGAATTAGTGGAAAAATAAATAATTTTGAGAGGTCAGGATGGGTGGTGGTGGTATAGTAACTGCAAATAAATTAAGGTAGCTTATTTGGATTGACTCGAGGGTCTTTTTTGATGATCGTTCCCATTAATAACGTATTAGTAATTGTTATTTTGAAATTGTCTGCATTTATTTCAAATAAAACGAAATCGCTAGTATATTATCAACAATATGATGACAAGGCTTTTTAAATCGTGAGGATCTATAACTTTTGTCGAAATAAAGCAAATTTGCAACTTTGTTGCATTTGATGAATGCCTTCACCAAAGGTTTGAATACAAAGTGTCACCAAAAGTTGATCTATGCTTAAATTGGAGATTTAAAGATTATAAGTAATCATATATCAGGAGCCAAAAACGTTTGGTTGAGAAAAAATGAAAAAATGTAGCAATAGCTTAAGTAACTAAAGATTTAGCATTGTGTCAGGGGATATTAAGATTCACTAATGATGTACAAATGCCTCTTTTCATAGGTTGTGTGTGATTAACATATGAGGCCTTAAGCTATTCATTGTTTCTTAAAACTGTTTATCTAATTTGGAGCATAATCTAGTGAATTGTCTTAGCCATCCAAAAAAAATAAATCAAATTGAACAATTCTCTTGTTTGTTTCTTCTAATTTGCATGTCTGATTTGCTAGATCTGAGACAAAATAACATCATTATGTTATCAAAATTTGCATATTAAAAGATGGCCACGTGACAATGCTTGAAGGATTATTTTCTTGATCATCAACTGATCTTGGTACAAGTTAGAGGTGAAAACCCAAAACACGCATGTTGATCACGCGAGCATAAGTCATTACCCTCCCGTAACTCTTTAACGTACATTTTGGATAAGAAGAAGTTGTAATTGATTGAAAGAGAGAGCTAAAGTGTGTCATTGTAGATCATAGGCTCGAGCTTGAATTAAGTACGTATTCTAGTCAATTGCGGCCACATATGAGCTCTGGTGAGGATAGCTGCTTTGTCCATCAAGGAGTGATGTAAACACCGTATTCTGTTATTCTTGTTCTTTCATGTTTTCATATCTTCTTGTTGGTAGATTCTAAGGAGTTTAGAATCATACGATGCTGATTTGTCAGTTAACTATTATAAACGTCTCTGAAATTTTTTGATAGTATCAAGGCTTAATAGGATAATAGTTGAAAATTTACCATTCATTACTGTTACCTATTGGTTTGGGTTCTTTTCTTATACATGAGTGAGTCTCACTGTCTGAATCCTTCTTATGTGTGGAACATTTATACATTTTAGTAACAACTTGTTTTCTGTAAGTTATTCTTAGAAAAATATTATTGGCGTCATGGAGTAACCCTAGATTTCAGTGGGATGTCTAAACAGCAATAAATATGACATGTGTTTGATATATTGGGACCACTACAAAAGAATGAAAACCTTTATAAGCTCAACAAAGTACATTCCTTTGTTGGATAAATAATTGTATTTTCTGTAACCTAAAAAAAATTGAGACCTCCCCTTGCATTAATAATTTAATTAATTATAGGTTTCACTCACAGATGTACTGAGTCGTTTGTGTTTGAGATAATTTCAAATTTACCATATTTGTTGTAGCACAATTCATATTTACCTTCAGAGATTAATTTTCACAAGTACTTTATCCATTAAAAAGGTAAAACATTCATCTATCTTTGCTTTATTAATATATAAATATAAATAGTTATTTAAATAAGAAATTATAGTTTTCAAATTATACCCTTTCAAATTTGATTTTTTTCTAACATTTTTTTGATTTTTTTTTTCAAATTTTCTTTTTAAAATTCAAAAATTCTTTGAAACTATTTTTAAAATTTTTATTTTTATTTTTAAGTATTTATTAGTATATTTATTAAAATTCTAAATCTCACTCTCCAAAACTCTCACTCAAATCTAAACTCTAAGTGTATAAATTATTTAATGTTAATGTGACTAACGTAAACATGAATAATGGTGTTAATAATGTAATAGTTTAAACAATTTCTCTTTATGTTTTTGCTTTTTTGTAAGGTTTCTTTCAAGTATTCAAATAGTAACTTCATTAAATTTTAATGTCAAACATATATGTCCTTCACTCATATGGACATACTCATATATTTATGTTGTACATGTTAGAAGCAATTATTGTGGGGGAGTGGTGGATGAAGAGTGATCCATACCGAATAGTACTGAAGTGATAACTAAGTATTTGATTTTTCTATTAGATGATATATATATTCATAAACAAAACTATTTTTTTTTTTTGGCTAAAATTTGACAACACTATTTTTGTTTTCATCCTCCTGTTACAAACAGTTTGTCCCTAACCAAAACGTCAATAGATTGCACGGCCAATCGATCCACTTCAATGCTTTATATATAGTTCGTTAACTTCTAAGTTTTTTTTTTTTTTTTTTTTTTTTTTTAACAAATTGGATGTTCCGACATTTAAAGTTTGCTCTAAATTTGGATGTGAGAGCACGGGGGAAATAACATGTATATACAACAATTTGTCCCTAGCCACAATTTCAATAAATCCCACGATCACTCCAATGGTTTATATTTATAAGCTTTAAAGATTTTATCACCTTGACTGGTATTTCCCAACATTGTAGGTCGTCTGCTTCATAAAAATACTTCATATCATGTTTTAAATTGGATTATGGTAAATCGTACAGTATAATTTTACATGCAAACAGAATAACCTCTAAAGTTACACATAGGGCTAGCTAGACAAGGAATACGAAAGTTACCCCAATACGTTATATAATTACATGATATGAATATACGCATTTCTGTTAAGTATATACACACTTTTATAGCCTATCATTTTATATTACTATATGTTGCGAGTGATGCATTAAATGAGAGGTACATAGAGAGGAGCACGAGAAATGGGTTATAGAAAAGAGGTTGTGAACTTGTAAGCTAAAATTGCGCTCATTTTTTGCAGTCTCACTAAATGCTCACATTAGTAAATACACCAACATGTCTTCCCTTCAATGCCCTAATATCCCATCACATGCAATTTCCCCACTTTTCATTTTTTTTTTGTTAAATGTATATCCTTATCTTTGTTTATTATCATCAGCTGTGCAGTTCGATAGATTTTTGTGTTATTTTGTATCTACGTAACTAATGTGCGACTTCTTTTACAATTGCTACATCTATAAATACTTCTCGACTTGTAGAAAATAAGGGGAGAAACTTTGAGCATTTTCTTTTTATTTACAGGAAAGTTCGAAAAGTTAGTTCACCTCTTTGGTGATCCTAGAATTGTATGGAACTTTTTTTTTTTTAACCACATTTTTTTTTAACCACAAATTGTATGGAACTTATACCAATCAATATAGTAATTAGTATTTTTAAAGTCATCAATATAAATCTTTCGAACTTTCAAAATAAATCTAAATATGATACTTTAGTAGTTTTTATTTACTTTAGTAGTTTAAGTATCTTAAAATTACAATTCTCTAAATTTTACAGAAAAAAATTAAGAATTAAAAATTTAACGTATTTTGAATTCCACATTTTCTTTAAAAAATACTTTATTTTTAACTACCAAATTAAATTGTATATATATACTAGTTATTTTTAAAAGCATAAGATTTTAAATTTGTGTCGAGGGCAGCTTTGTACATTTGAGAGGGTTATTGGTTAAGTTGACAGTTAACCTTATAAATAATCTACACTATCTAGATTCTAAACAGTGTGTGGCACGGTTGCAGCTAAGGAAAATTTGAGGGACAACTAAAAACAAAGTAAAAGTTCAGTTGTTGTCAAGTCTTTTAACACATAGGATTGGATGACAAATCATATCCGTTATTTATACAGTTCTCTCTAGCTTTCAATTTCATTTTGTAAATCTATCGTCCAACTCAAAAAAACAAGTAGATTTTTGAATCACCAACCACTTGCGCTAAAATATGATACTCCATGATCACAACAACTATTCTTCTTCTTTATCTTAATAGTTCAAAAGATTTATCTTTCTTGACATCAAATGGTCTTTCAACAAACTTGTACTCTTCAAATATTCACTTTATTAGAGATCTTCTTTTGAAAATCTTCCATCGAAAATACATTATGTTGCATACTGCATGTGGTAACTCACCAGGAATCATGGCGACGTTCAAATCATCTGAAGATGATATATTTTATACTTAAATCAACAATATTAACAAACTTAAGACTACTAATATTAAATAAGATGAGTTGGAGAAGAATGTTTTGTATCTTTGTCTTGTTGATTTTGGCTACAAACTGTTTAGATGTAATAAACAAATCATTGAAAACCATGAATATACTCTTAGGAATTAGACAAACGATGGAGAAAAGGCAGATTTGTCAACTAATCCCATTGGGAATATGTTAAACGTATTTCAAAAGCCTAAGAATCAGTGACCACTTACCTCACACGTGTATAATGAACGTTAAAACAACCATTTTTGTGTGTGGAATTAATTTTAAAAATATGAATTATCTAAGTACGAAAGATAAGTATTCGAGAAACATCCTGTTTATAGGAATGAGAGTATGCCAAAAGAAAATACGAACTTCTAACAACATTCTCTCAAGTCTATTTGTAAGAGACTTGTATAATTAAAAATTGTCAAATGGCATAGTTAATATCAAAAGTTTACATTAAATAAACCCAATAAGGCATCGGGATTATAATTAAGAGGGCTCTGAGGAATGAAAACGTTTGAAGTTAACATTTTCTAATACTTGGAACTGTACACACAGTAATGCCTATTAGAATTCGTGCTTGGATCCTGCCTTTTTTTCTGTGTGGTCTCAAGTATGTTACTATATTCAGACAACATGCATGTATCATGTAGAAGACTTGTAGCACATATACAGCCTAAATAGAATGTCGAAGATCAATGTTTGGAGTAAAATAAATACCGACATAATGAACCATGTCTATATATGGATTCATTATATTTAGCTAAGCAGATGTAAGTCTCATGATATCTGGTGTAGTATTTAGAGCTCAGGCTTCAAAATATCAAATGTAACCTCTTGCGTCAAATTCTCATATGGAGCAGATTTCAATATGGTCATAGCACGGATTGACACCTAGCTTAATGTATTGCGGATGTAGTAACCAAAATAGAATAATCTAAGTACAATAAACATTTCTGTATGATCTGTTAGAAGTTATCGATATATTTTAACTATTCAAGACAATGCGATAAATTATCTTGAAGAAAGCGGCCGGTTAAATATTTCTGATTCGTTTAGCCATACTGTTTATTCATGTGGGAAGGACCCAAAGGTACCAGCAACATTGGTCATTTGGTCTAGTGGTATGATTCTCGCTTAGGGTACGAGGTCCCGAGTTCAATTCCCGGAATTATTATCATTTTTTTCCAAATTTCAGGCGACACACACATCACACCATCTCAGTAAGACAGAATGTGGAGAGCACATCAGGACTCCTTGATAAGCAAGATCAAGATGAGAATCCCATGTTCAATAATATAGGCCTTTTGACAAGAAAAAACATCTTTCAGACATGAGATAGGACTTTCAAGATTGACTACATGATCAAAGTAACAGGTAGAACGAGATGTAAATTATACAACTACCATCAGATCACTATTCATTCTAGTTCAGTCAATTGCAATGGTTGTAAGCAACAATAAAAGCAGAGAGCAAGAACTGAATTTCATCAGCAAATCCCACTTGGCGTCAGATGATTGACAATTTGGACTAAATGAAGCTCTTCTCGAGATAACTCGAAACACATAACATCAGATACCACTCAGTATGCTGCTTGATTCTCTAAAAACGAGCTGCATGAAAAAAAATGTAAAAACAAAAAAAAATGCTCAAGTTGTTACGAATTTCATCAAAGACACAAAAGACAACGTGTAATCAAACTTCACGACTGTTTTTCTTTAATGGATCCTATCAACAAAAGGGCATTTGGTCTAGTGGTATGATTCTCGCTTTGGGTGCGAGAGGTCCCGAGTTCGATTCTCGGAATGCCCCTCATTGACTTTTTTTCCTACAGAGTATCTAGGGTATATATAGCTCTAAAGTTTTGTTACTAAGAATTCTTAACTATGATTCAACATTTCAAAGATCATTTCAACTAAATGATTGACCAGGCCTAGAATTTCACCACCAGTAAATTACAAAAATCACTGCAACACATTGATAGAAGCGTCTGAAATCTCAAAAACTTCACCTTTAGGTTTGGTTATGGGCTGGTTATTTCTCTTTCTAGTGTATATAGAGAGTTGGAAGATCCATTACCAAAAATCCTCAGGGTCTTTGTATTTTCAGCACTATCATATACGGAAATATTAGTTCTATATTCTGAATGTAGCACATACCTTTACTTTCAGGTCAGATTATTCAGATTTTCAAACATGTGACCTCTTCTTGAAGCATTCCAACCAGATATATACCTCTTTACTACTACAACGCAAATGCTGCCAGTTTCTCCAAGAAGGAGCTGAAAGAAACACAAAAGATAAAAGTTGGTTGGATTTCAAAAAAAGTTCCTTCAAATGAACTACATTAACAAATGGGCATTTGGTCTAGTGGTATGATTCTCGCTTTGGGTGCGAGAGGTCCCGAGTTCGATTCTCGGAATGCCCCATTGACTTTTTTTAAAAGGCAACACCCTTAGACTTCTTAGGGAAAAAAACATATACAAATTGTATCCTTGTTATCAGATATTGCCCTGATCTTATTGTATCTTTCTCATAAGTAAATCAACCAGAAACAGCTCTACTATTATCAGTGGCTACTGGCTACTTAGGTAATCAAAGTTCAAACACCAAAGAGAAGAACTACGCATTAAGAGGTGGATCAAGAAACTAAGCATTGGGTCGAGGAACATGCTTCTAGCTTTACTTAAGTTTCCTAAACACCATGAACAAGATCTCACACAGATCAGATCTAGAACATTTTGTTAGGACTAAAATACCCATCATGGAAAAGTCAACTAAGGGCCACTGATTTAGATATGTTTTCTTCTACAGCCTTTTAAAACCTATTATAAAGCGTGAGGGCATTTGGTCTAGTGGTATGATTCTCGCTTAGGGTGCGAGAGGTCCCAAGTTCAATTCTCGGAATGCCCCCTTAGACTTTTTGAAAGATGGTCTATACACAAGCCGATATTTAAGTTAATATTTCTTTTGACCAAGAACTGGTCTAGTAATCTAACATCTAGAACTGATTAGCATGCTTTTCACTTTACATTCACAAAATATTGATTAGAAATGACATGTTATGTGTTTCAAAAAAAAAAAATGACATGTCTGATAAATAGTGAATACTTACAGTAATGCGGCGTGTTGATTCATCAGAATGATAACCAGATGTTGCCAGGTTCACCAAGGACGAAATATTCCAGAGAGAATGGTCTGCACACTGAAAACCAAAGGGGTAATATGTATTCTCGTTTGGCATTGAACAGAATACAAGAATAGAACATATACTAAGCTATTTACAGCAAAACTACAGAAGAAAAGTGGAAAACTGAATTTGAATAGCCAGTTGTTTTGATAGAGTTGCATCAAGTTCCACTGATCAGTGTTTCAGATTTCCAAAGGCCCTATGCAACTTACATCAAATCTCAGACACTAGACATTAATAACAACAGGGCATTTGGTCTAGTGGTATGATTCTCGCTTTGGGTGCGAGAGGTCCCGAGTTCGATTCTCGGAATGCCCCATTGACTTTTTTAAAACAGTGCATCTGTGTATCTTCTCTGGTATGCTAACTAAATATTGCTACGAAAAGGCAACAGATGGCACCCTTAAACTTCTTAATAAGCAAATTTTACTGAACATAATATTTCACATCCAAAGGCCATACAATATGCAATATACATCAGATCACATCTTCTCTATTAAAAGAGAAGTACCAAATTTATCTACTATTTAGAAATCATACTGGACCATGTTATTAATAACTTAATTGACATATTTTATTGTTACATTAACCAGTCAAATATATATGATTTTCACAATATCTTAATAACTAATAAGAACATTAATAATAAATAAATTTAAATATAACAAAATCTGTTGAAAAAATCTAACAAGATCTTACCAAAAATTTTAAATATTTTTTTTACAAAATAAA